ATTTTAACAATGCGATTGTAAAACTGACCCCAAAATTTCAGCTATTATGCATTCTGCAATTGTTAAATCCAGGGACCCGAATTTAGTTCCATTCCGCAAATCCGCCGATATGCGTTATTTATTAAAACTATTATCTAACTAAAATCATATTGTTAGGTATATGTAATAATCCGAACATTAATTATACCATTCCACAGACTGGTGATACTATCGACCCAGGAATTATAAATAATATCACTATAATTTACAATAATAGAGTGAGTCTATCATCTGCTAATATTTCTATATACCAGATATAAGGTTCTGATAGAGCTCTTCGTCAGGCTTTTCCGGGACAGTCACAATATTGTTTGCTGGATAATAATAATAATAACCAAACCATCATTATAAAAGTATTGGATAGCACATTTAATCAACAAAATGGATCATATTATGTTACTATTGATACAAATTTCGTACGAGATGCTCAACTAAACGAACCTTTATTAGGAGTGGACATGGACATTTGGATATTAACCGCAGGTAATATAATTTGTATATAGTGATAAATCAAATTAATTCTCTACTTCTCATTTTATTTTCAATTTTTTCAGTATCAACTCCAGATCCATATGCAGGTATATTTCTTTTGATTTTTTTTTTTTCTTATTTTTGTGCGGATAGTTTAATATTATTATAATTTATAAAATATAACAATAGAATCAGCCACTGCTTTGCTAAGACTCACACCAGAAGGTTCAAGTTACTTTAATTGGCTCAATGACAAATCAGGATTTTTTAATCAACTACTGACTGAACTTGCAGACGTTATTCCTGTTGATCCTTCCCGACTTTCTTCCTCAAATCGGTTTCAGGAAGACTATTTAGCGCCTACAAAGCAACTATTGCTTTCTTTTAATATTGAAGCAACCAGAAACCAATCACAACGAAATACGTTGAGGGTTATTTCTGATTTAAATACACTCATTATTAACAAACAAATAAGTCCCATATCAAACCGTTATAATCTTACATTCTATTTAGATGACTCCTATGGTTGCCAAAATGCGCGTAAGTCAGTTACTGAATCAGTTCTTGATAATTATTATTTCCTTCTATTTATTTTAATTTTTTTTTTTAATATATCATAATATTAATTTAGCAAATTTGTGGGATAACTACATTATTAAACTAATATGTTTAATTGTCTGTCTGATTATTTTAATCTCAATCTATTTTTGGGCAAGAAAAAGGTGAACATTAAATTAAAATATATTTCTTGTGTGTATATTTATTATCTAAATTTATTTAAAATATAGGGGAAAAATCTTGCAATCTTCAAATTCACCGCAATTATTTTTGATTTAATTTTGGACATCTTATTCTTTGTAAATAATGGAAAAGATGTTTCTTGGCTTTATTTACCCAGGTTAGAATAACTGAATTATTTTGAGCAAGGCTTTATCATTACAGTATATATTTACCAATTAATTATTCTTTTTTAGCTTAATATTTATAGTAATTCCTATCAGTTACAACTTTGGTCTTGCATTATTCATAATTTCACGAGAAAATATTCTTAACCATAAATTTAAAATTTGGATCAAAGAATACACTAAAGTAGCTGCTCTCATTACTTTGATTTCCTGCTCAGATATTGAAGCGCTTACTATAATTAATTCAGAATTTGCTGGGCTCGGTATGTTTAAAGCATTTATTTCTAACAAGGCTGAGTATTGGATATTCATCGGCAGTATAATAAATTTTTTTATTGAAGATTTTCCACAATTTATTGTTCAGGTACTGTAAATAAAATTTATAAGATGTTATAGAATAAACTTTAATATAGACGGGGACGTAATTATTACAAACTAAATGTGTAAAAATTAGCTAGTTTGAACTAGTTTAAAATTGTCTAAGGTAAAAATATTTATAAATTATTTAAACTAGCTAAGTTTTATTTCTTATAATAATTATATATATTTGTCTATTTATACTAAAGTTTACTTGATATTTATATATATTTTTATTTAACTAAAATTATATTTTATAATTTAAAAGATTTTATATAAAAAATACACAATTAGCCATACTTTTATTCCTTTTCTTGCTTTAATTGCAAGTTTTATTCTTTTAATAACTAGTTTGCTTGAAAAATTATATTTTGGAAATGCATTATTATTTTCACACAAAAATAATTATATATTAGCAAATACAGAACAGGCAGAACAGATTATACTAGCTCCAAATACAAATTCTTATCTGAATTATAAACGAAGATCTGCTGACTTTTAACTTTTAGTTCAGTTGTCTAAAATTTTTAATATTTATTTGTAATTTTTAGTATTTATCTATTAAATTATTTTGAAACAATTGTCATTATTTAATAATTTTGAAAATAATGTGTGACGTAAAAATCTAAAAGCTTCGGATTATCAAGTGTTGACTTATAAATCATTTATTTTGGTTTTTTTTTTATTTTTTTTTTTAGTTAGCGCTAAGTTGAAATCCATACAATTACCATATATCTATTAGTTCAGTGCTGATCAGGAAACGTCGGTTTCTATATAGGGAAAATTTTCATTTAAAAACGATTGTAAAAAAAGCGCGCAAATAGATTAGCGAGATGAGAAGAGATGCGCTGCTAACCGCTAGTCAGATTTGTTTTTTTTTGATTACTAAGCTGATCGGAGTAATAAAATCAAAAGATCTGACGTTTGGTAAACTCATATCCGTACTCAACTTCCCATTGGACGAAACCAATTACATCACTGATCACGGTACGGTGGTTAAAAATTTCATGTAGCCATCTAATGCACCGCAAGAAGTAATTAAAAACATAAAATTCAATAACGCAATATTCTAAAAATACACATTGTTCGTCATAACTAAATTTCCACTAATGATAATTGAAAAAGAAATTATAAAAACTAATCAATTAGACCAGAAAATCTTATAGTTGTTATTTTGAATGCTCTTCCGGAAGACCAATCCATTATCTGTTTATCCATTTATCTATTGGATATCCGGACCTGAATTTACTCGGATATCCGTTTTACTATTGTTATCCGGCAAACTCATATGATCATGAAAAAATTTCTTTGTTATTTTTTTCATGTGTTGCTATATGATTATGTTTATTCCAGTATTCAAAATTAAAACTCAGCGAGCGACTCCTACTAATCATGATCATAAATTGCCGGATAACACCAATATTGGACAAATTGTCGAACACGTAATTTGGCAAATGATTAACTACACGTACCGCAAAGAGGCACGTGCTCATTTGCCAAATTACCGTTATTCGACAATTTTAGCCCAATATTGTATACATAAACGGTAGGCATACTTTGTCTTCTAAGTAAAGTTCTCAGGGTCACTGATTATTTTTGTATAGGAATATAAACGTTCTTTCGAAGTGAAAAATGTCTTTTGCAGTGATTTTTTATTAGTGAAACGTTACGTTCCAAAAAGTACTTTAAAGTGTATAAATAAGTTACCCGGGCAATTGATTTACATAAGCCAATCAAACGAATGTCCGACTATGAAGGTACAGGCGTATCAAAAATGATTATTACGCGATTGTTGATTGTTGATTGCGTCAAGTGACTGATCATGTGAATACTGAACAACGCGATTGTTTTGTTTTGATCGCGTCACTATACATGGGTGCCTAAATTAATCGTATTTTCGGCAATAATTTCGGCAAATATGAAAATTAATTTCGGCATTATACTGTATATATAAGAATAATTTCGGCTGCCTAAATGCCGTAATTACTTTTTTATTAAGATGGGCAATTTAAGCACCCATGTATACGCGTCACTATAAAAAGAGCTTGTTAAATTTATAACTCTTATTTTTTTATCTCAAAATGCCGAAAAGACTTCGCGGTTGTAAATAAAATACTCGACGAACAAAATGAAAGGAGACCCAAATACGAGTAAGTATTTTTATATATTGTTTCTAATTTATTTTTTTTAGTTTATTTTATTTATCTTTCCAATTTTTTTCTTCTAGTTGTCTATTTCGGTGTCATTTTTCCTTTCGTTGTTGAAATCCTTTTTCGTCGTTGGTGTCGTGTCTCTTTTCTTTCGTCGTTTTCGGTACTTTTCATTTTGTAGTTTTCATACCGGTTCTTTGTAAGTATTTTAATTTTTTTTTGTTGTGCTTTGTTTTTTTTTATTTATTTCATCACTCATTATTGCCTTATGACAGAACTCGCAAAATGGTCTCAACTATTATTTCAACTTCAACTTTTCAACTTTTCCGGGTATGTGTTAATTTTTTCTTGGCATTTTTTGGCAGGGCGCCCCGGCTGAAATTTCAATTGTGCAATAATTTATTTTTTCTCATTGTATAGTACCGAGAAAATCGATGATTATGACAAAGCCCTCCACTTCGACAACAACTTCGGACAACTACATTCATGCGTTCAAGTTGACCATGAATGGAGCAGGATGGTTACTCCATTATTATGGAGCAAACCAGGACAAGGCATTAGAATAGATTCAGAATTTGCGTTCAAGTTGACCATCTCCATTATTATGGAGCAAACCAGGACAAGACATTAGAATAGATTCAGAATTTGCAAGATGTAATGAAAATAAATTAAATAATTACATATTTTATCAATCAAATAAAACTTACACGAAAAAGGCTTAAATCTGTTACGTTGATAGTATTGAATTTTTTATTTTTTTTTTGTTCGATTATTAGTAAATTCTTATGTCAAATAGATTTAAACTATCTTTTACATTAAGCGTGATAAATTTTAATCGATAATAAATTGTAAAGTTTCTTACATCCGAAGTATTGAATTAAACATATTTATGGGCCCAAATTGAATTGTAAAAACCTCGCGATTATCGATAGTTTATTCGATTGCATTCTTTTATGTAAATGATTAAATTTATTCGCATTAAGAGTTGAACTTAAATTTTAAACCTATGAAAGATTTATTTCGTAATTACAATAACAGTATAAATGTTATACGCCGGAATGGAATTTGGTAGATTTAGAATAAACTTAAGTTGGTTCTAAATACACTTAAATTTAAGTTTTTGTAATATAATAAAATTCATAAAATTGTTACGAAAAAATAAATGAATTCTAAGATAAATTTTGAATATGTGATTCAAGGTGAAAAATATGGTTTATTTAGATCAGAGTAATTTAAAGCGAAAACTCTGATTGGCTAGTGTTGACGGACGGATGGGTTTTAATATAAAAGATAATAATAGTAAAAAAATCCTCCAGACATTATTCAAAAAAAAATTTTTTTTCCAAAATTTTAATTAATTATTTAATCATATAAATACAACTAATCTAGGTTAAATGTAATTACAATTTTTTTTTCTAAAATACAAAACTTATCCTTTTCCCACTACTTTTTATCCTTACTTTTCATTTTAATAATCTCAATATACTTTTCCGGAAATCCTTTAGAACTGGCCAGGTATTCCTTAACTTGTTTAGTTTGAGGTCCTTGAACCATTAACTCAGACAGCGGTTTCTTGGGTGATGAATTTGGAGATTGAAGAACTGTAAATTATATATATTTATGAATTATGTATGTAAAAATAATAGTAAATTATGTAATCAAAAAAATTATAAGTCAAAAATTACCAGCAACACTACTCGCGCATAACTTTTTGAGAGGTTCTATCAAATCTTTGGGATCAATTTCGTACTCTTCTAAACCTTTGATAATAGTAACTATCTTATTTCCCATTCGACGTGCCTCGGAAATTTGTATACTCTTAGGTCGTCCTTTTCTGCAAATATTAAATTTAAATGTCAACGTTTTATACATGACACGAATAAGAAGTAGCTACAACCTTAATCGATGTTTATCTCCTGGCAGGGTCACTGAATGATATTCATCCATACGGCTTTGAACATGATATACTAAATCATTTCGTGTCATTTTATCAGGTACAGGTTCTCCTTGCTTGCTTGCAAAAATTTTACAAAGTTGTTCATCAGGAATTACAAATCTAAATCAACGTAAAAAGATTATTAGTTAATGTATTGAGATGAATATAATAAAGTAATAAAATGTGCACAACCTCCTGTTCTTCTTGTCAGCCAAATCATGCGATGTAACGTAATCAAGGATTATTTTTGATACTTCCTTGTATTCATAAACTTCACCTATACTTTTAAATGGACAATTAAAATTAATTTTGATACGCGTATATCGGTTGAATAACTACTTTATTAAGCAAATATTCTGACGTCGAACCTTTTCCCTTGCATTTGGAAAAGTTCTCCAATAGCACCTTTGGGCATGAAGACCTCAGTTATTTTAATTTGGTCCACATTATTAGAGTCTGAAGATATGTCATCATCTTTGATTTGCGATTTTGAGGCAGAAATTGATGCTTTCTCGATAGTTTTATGAGGTTTAAACAATTTAAGTCTGCAAAAAAATTAATACTAACGTAATTAGTAAATAATAATACATATATTACACATTATAATAATTTATATTACTCGTCGTGATCCCACTTAACACCAATCAAGAGAGTATCACCACGCTGTTCCTTGAGTTTGACAACTCCTTTTTTCTCCATCGCCTTTAAAAATTTTGTGATCTAACCAAATAAAAGACATTCAATTCATAAGTTTTCTTTAATAAGTATTATAAAAGAATACAGCTAACACATAATAAAGGTAGTTAAATAAATGGAAGCCAATAAAGAGTAGTTACTTTTTTATAACTAGATTTTTTTACATCAACATCGTTATCTGTTCCAACCGGACGTGATGGAAGAACGTATGCAGAGTAAAGTTGTGAACTTGTGAGAGGTAAGGTTCCAGACGGAGTCAATTTTTTCAAGAGAGCCTGATAAAACGATGCCTGCAAAAGATTATCGACTTCTGTTTATATTTTTAGATTAAAGTCGATTATGAATTGATTTATGTGAAAGATATATTATAAGAAATTAAATTACCAGCAGTAGTGTATTTGGTAGATGGTTGTTCAATGCCACTATTTTTAGTTTCTGACTCTTCTTCATATGAGCCTTCAATATTCTGTTCTTCATCATAAGCTTGAACATTTGTTGTTTTTGCATGCGGATCAGAGGTCTCACTACTCTCTTTAATTGTATCATCTGCAATTTTCATTTCATTAAAGGTCTGTTCCACAAATTCCTGATCTTGAGTGACCGAATCGATTTTAACATCCTCATCCTCGGGAATTTGACTTTTATCGCCCATGCTCCACAAGTGATCTTGATAAATATGAATGATTTGCACAGCGATACCCTTTTTTACTGATCCAGGTTTAAGTGTGTTAGTAGGTACACACATGATTCCTACGGCAAGTGGATAACTGAATAAAATAAATTAGAAATAATTTCCAAGAATCAAAATATTTAATAAATAAATATTTCAAGTAGCTTACTTAGATCCTCTAATAGTAACAGACACGAGTTCTCCTTCTCTAACATCCGGCAATCCTTCAGGGGGGAAAGCAATACCAGGAATCATTAAGTTTGCACCACCATTTAATTTTGAGATTACAGGTGCAAATGTGGGGATCTTTGGCAAAAGATTAGGAAAACGCCATAGTGTGTAAACTTTTTTAAAGGTTAAGTTAAAAAATCATTTATACATTTACAACGAATAAAAAAGAGAAAATTGGATAAGCAATTACCACTAGGTACTAGCATTTCTCTCTTGTCTTTATAGAATCTAAGCCATGTTGGGTTTTTTTCTTCGATGTATAACATTCCATGCAAATCATTATAAGTGGTTATATTAGCTCTATTAATGCGATCAGGAAGGATAGAAAGGTTTTGTTCGCCTTGTTTTGTTTCGAAAGTCGCGAGTTCCGGGAAACGTTTTATCAGTTCATCGCGTAATTTACGGCGGTCGGAATTGCTCAAAAGCCAAGATTTGACATTTGTAGCTGGTTTCTTGAACATTTTTGCAAAGGATCTTGATCTAATTACAGAATTGTGTTGCAAAAAAAACTTTTTTTGTTTTTTCGTTACACAGATCGATAGGTCAAGTAATTCAGTAATTAGAGTTTTTCTTAACCGCAGTTCGTCCCTGTGCCGAAGTGAGGTGGCTGATTACTAATAGAATCAAACATTTTATATTATTAAAAATATATCAGAGTTACGTAGTAAATATTTTTCGATATAATTATTGTTTTCAGATTTCGCACTTTAATTAATATCGATCGATATGGTATGCATACACTTGCCGCACAAATCCCAAACTGTTATAGTTTGAGTTTTTCCACGCCCAAATCCCAAACTCTGGCTAAGCCAATATCGATATATTATTAAATCATATTTATATGGGCTACCGTCAATAGAAATCAACATTTTTAAAAAAATTAATCCCTTAACTTTTATAATTTATATCTCGATGAATTTTGAGGTTATCTTGATGAATATTCAAAAGAAAGCATAAGATCTAGACTTTCTTTTGAGATATAATTGTGAAAATTAAGAGATTAATTTTTTTAAAATGTCAATCTGCTTGATTTCTATTGACGGCAGCCCATATATTTACAAATTGTTTTTGGGGCATGAGTTTTACCGGCAAGTATAGGAAAGCAAAATTTGAAAATTTTAATATGATATGCACAACGTAAAGTTGTTAAGAGTGCAATAAAGGTTAATTGAAAAAAAAAAAATTTATATTATGCAGTATAATATCGAAAAGTATTTCTAATGTATAATTCGATTTTATCAGCCCTTAGATAATTTACAAAGTTCCTTAATCTATTACCAAAGTTTTGCACACATCATCTTTTCTGCTCCGCACTTGCCGGTAATACAAACCTCTAAAAAGGAAATGGACAATCAGAGAACACAAATTTCGGGTATTCCGTATCAGCCCGACATAGAATCCGAACACGTGCGAAAGAAGAAAATACTCAAAAACTAATGTTTAAATTGACCTTTGTAAACTAATAAAAAATAATGGGAATGAAATTTTACATATAAGAAACTCCAATTTATCGTTAAAGCTCACAACCCTAACGTCCTAATCCTAAACTTTTATTTTTACGCACTTAGTTTATTCACAAAATTGATTTCCTTTTTTGGTTGTTACCGGCGCAAACAAGTAAATTGCTTTAGCACCCCACCTATTAAATGACGTAAATTATCCCTATAACTAATATTTCTTATTTCTGTATTTTACACACTTATCACTTCCTACCATTTTTACTCCCTGCTCTTCATAGCGTAAAAACTTAGAAACACGTACGTACGCGCTCTAACTGTTAAACTAATTTCTCAAGATGATTTTGTTACCTCTTGAATGCTACTATAAAATATTATATAACCTACACCCTTCTGATATTGATCAAAATGAAAATGAAAGTCAATATTCTAAAGACCTATTTTCATGTGCACTTGTAAACCGTGAGTGGTTTAGAGTTATTATACCAATTTTGTGGAGCAAACCAGGACGCCGCCATTTTAAAGATATAAAATTTATAAGAACAATTTTTTTATTATTGAATGATGAAGAGAGAGAGATGTTAGAATTTGTTCGAGAAGTGTTAGGTGTAGAGAAAGATTCATTCACTATTTCTGACTCAAAGCCACTGCTTGAATATACAAATTATATCGCATCTATTACTGTTCATTTGTATATTGGAATTGAAAATTGGTTTCGTGATGATGAAAGACATAGAAATAAGCGTGGTCCAGTTGAATTTAAAAAGGTCATTAAAAAATCGTCTGATTACAATGCTTTTACAAACTGGCAAGAATCTGAAATATATATGTTTTGATGAAGTCATTTGTGAACACCATCGAGTAGAATTTGAATATCTTTTTAGAGAACACTACTATTAGCTCTTTAAGTTTAAGGCGATGGGTGGAATAGAAGGAATTCTTAGAATGAATAATTCAACTTTGACATCTTTGGAACTTAATTCAATAAAATTTAGAATTAAATTAATAAAAAGATTATTGGATGCTCTTTCCAACAATACAGTCATAAATTCTTTAAGTCTTCGTAATAATAAGATCGGTTTGATCGATGCTGAAGAGGGAAATGAGTTAGCAAATTTTATTCGCAAAAACACCGTAAAGGAAAGGGAAAGAAGTAGTCACTTCTCTGGCACCACCAAGAACAAAGGCCCAAAAAAAAGAAAGTATGCGGAATCTAGTGCCAGACAGTCTGCCTATGCAGAAAGGCGGGAGTTACCATGTACGATTAATTTAGCTTTAAATCATAGGGTTGAATATTTAGTTTATCATCATTTTTACCATTCATTCTCTATATTTTGTAGATTCAATAACTCGATCTGAAGCATACAAAAGTGTTGATTTCAGTCAAGTTACGGCTGATAACCCATTAAACTATCGAAAGTCCCCAAATCTGTAGAACGTTATTTGGAAGCCCAAAAACCAAATGAGAATTGGTTCGAGGAAATGATGCAGACGTAGTTTAATAGGTTCTCGTTAAAGAACGAGAACACTTTGAATCTTGAAAAAAATAAGCTTGGACCAGAAGTAGGAGAGATATGCTTTACAAGAACACCTCCTGATTTCTTTGAACATTAGTAGAAATGATCTTAAATCAGGAGGAATAGCGTTAGCAGATGCACTTTGCAAGAACTCAACTCTGACTTCTTTGAACATTGAATGTATTAATTTTGGGGTAGAAGAAGAAAAAAAGTTGGCGGATGCTATTCACAAAAACACTACTTTGGCTATTGGACAACTATCTACAAATAACCGACTATCATTAGATTCAAGTCCAATAAACATTCATTCCGAGTAACTTATGCTATAACCAAGGCTAGCTTATCATGTATAACCATCGCTATCCCATAACACTGGCTAATAATATAACAAATAACCCATCATACTACTATAAATGTAATACAATAAATCATTAATAAAATGACGTCGAAATCGAATTTTTGCGGTTGGATAGCGAGTTCAATTTCACTTAATAAGTGAATTTTAAATTTTATTCATTATCAAATCAATAAAAGAATTTTACATAAACAAAAAAAAATAAAAAAAACAATTTTTATTCATTATAAATGTCTACACCGTAATTTTTAAAAAATAAAGAATAATCAATTTTATCACGTAATGCAATTGAAAAGCTTACTAAGTTAATTGACGTTGTAAACCCTTTATTTTATTACACGAGAATCCGTGCTTCAAGATTAAATACAACTATCGAACTGCCAAACGTTTATTGCGGTTTGTGACCTCATGATTTTTGAGATGATCGAAGGAAATTTCGGACGTATCTTTATAAAATTGGAAAAATCGTCTAATGTCCCAAATTTATATTATTAAGTATATATATATAATCAATTATATTATATACTGTAATTATAAAACGTAGGTTTGTATTTTGATTTAAGCTTGTGTAACGGTAATATTTTACGTTATTTTTTCTTCAGATAATAATAGTGTTTCGAATTCTAGTTAGAATTAGGACCTTACCGGTATTCGGCGCTTAAAATCGACCAATCAAATCATATTCATTTTGTTTACTAATAAAAATATTCATTGACCTATTTTATATAAAATTTGTTTAGATTATTATGAGATACAGTCACGGATATACGTATTACACGGTCTTATTACAATTGTACAGTTGATAAATTAAATCATCGAGACGATTAGTTATAACTAGTCTATACTTCAAAATCACTATGTGAATAATATTCATGCAGTGATGCTTTATACATTCTTTTGATCATATTTCGTAATTTATTTTATATTAGTCGATATTAATCAAATACATGAACATAAAATCCATAAAATTTCATTAATCTCGTAGAATGGACTCAATTGATGCATACACGTTCCATAAATATATATACAATATCCATCTCACATTTGTTGAATTTTCTCATTAAATCTTGCTAAAAAATAAAATAAACATGTACGGTTATTCTAAAATACCTTTAAATTTTATTCTATTTCTAATTTTTTCAACTTTAATCGCATCGCATGTCATAAACCCCTATGAACGTCGAGAACTAGCCAAGGATTCAAAGCCTAGAATACGTAGCGACGGAACTAATCATATGATTCGTTCTTCTCGTGGGAGAACTTATCATAACAACCCATATAACAAGAGATGTTCTCTAAATTCATCTCCAACCTATTTCAATTACCGCAAGAAACGTTCTCCAAATTCATCTCTAATCAATTACAATAATCACAAGAAACGTTCATGTAAACCAATGGGCTCTTATAAAAGGGACCTGCTTAAATTCAAAAAACGCCATTTCTTAGGCGGCTGTCCTCCAGAATTAAATCCATGTGGAGTTAATTGTTATGTTAAATCTGCATTACATAATGCACTTTGGGGTCCTCCACCTTGCGAAGATATTCCCGATGAACCATTAATTCAAGATTGCGGTTTTATGTATAATGCAGATTTGAATTGTGATGATTCAGATGCGATTTCGATGACTAATAAAGTGTGCCTTTAAATATACATCTAAAAATTTTCAGTAAATAATCTTACACGTAGAGTGGTTTGGAGAATAAAATAGTTAAATTATTTTATATATTGTTATTATTATTTATTTTTTACAAATTGTATCATAAAAACTCTGATAACGTTTAAATAAATGACTTAGAATCTTTTTACAATATGCTACTATGTTTATCCGAGTAAAATGGTGTCCCGATTTTATAGCACAAAGAAAACTTTCTCGAGAAATTCAGGAAATAAATAAAAACAAACAATTAATTCGCAATTCTTAGCTGAGATATACAAAAGTTACATTATTTGTCTCTACAGTAGTATCTGTAAAAAAAATGTAATTTATGTAATAATTAAAAACTCTGAATCGATAACGGTAAAAACTTAATGAATTATTTACTTATATTACTTAGGTATACGAATAGTTATCTATCTAATCGGTCGTAATATATGGCGTCAATTATCTCAATTATCTAGATGTAAAACTTAGTACCGTGTATTTGACACGTATACAATACTTTTTGCTTAATAGTTATCCCCATTTATTAGGTAGAGTGACAATTGATGATCTAATTTTTGCTTTCGACATATAATCAAGCTATTGATTGGTATCTTATATCGAAGAAAAGTTCTATCCCTAAAATTAATATCGGAACAAAAGTTGTACATATGATGCACTACATATAATTCGAATTCGACTAATACAGTAAACTTCAAGTGTATGTCCTCTAGGAACAACTCTTAATAAAATTTTCTCTAAATTCATAGCTTCTTTTGGTTCCAAGTACATAGAACAAAATGAATTTTGTACACTTTAAATACTGTACAACTTCTCATTAAACGATATATATTTATCAGTAAAATCTTCTAAGTTCAACTTAAAGGGAATCAACAGTATAACTTTTCATGATGAATCTGCTTGCATCAAACCAAACTTTGCAAAAAGACGATAAAGGCTACCGTGTTAGGAAACAGACATATTTTTATCCAATTAATAACTTGGTCATTTTATTAAGCTTAAATGAACTCAAATAACTAATTTCTTCAATAGCATCACGGGGTAAAAAGTACATTTCCGAAATTAAGACGAAACTGCACCATAAATCCTATTCGGTTATGACACGAGGTTTGTCAGGTAATAGACTGAGATAATCAAATGTAGGACTAAGAGCATTCTCAATGAAAGATGTAAGTGAATTATAGCAAAGGCTTGATATAATTGGGGTAACTAAGCCTCTCTAGATAAGTCCGTTAAAATGGGTTAAAGAATATAACTTAAGGGTGGTGAGTTACGAAGTAAGGGCTTATATTCTAGATTTCGACCGAATCGCCGTAGCCATGCCTTTAATGGATGTCTAAGGAGAGATTATAAGTCAGGTATTAACGATTAAAGTTTTTATATATTTAGATAATGTTTCTTGGCGTGGGATATATTTATATAATTCGGGGCAGTGTCATAAATCTGGCTGGATTCTGGAATATTCCGAGGTCGAGGCAAAATTTCCGCAAAATCCCGAAATGAAAAAAAAACATTATTTTTTCACCATTAAATATACGGATAAATTCTTTTGATTGAACTTAAAGAATATATACAGTATTTACAATTTTTTATAACAATACGATGATAAACACTATAACCTCCGCAACGGAGGTTATCAAGCGATCAAATGAAAAGTTTTTATTTATTTTGACTTATTAAATTGATTGAATGAATATGCTTAGAAACACCATAAATTGCTAGATCTCACGTTTTTGGTGTATGAATTTGCTTTAAAACACCTGACAATAAAATTCCCAGCAGAAACGTCACTCAAGTAATGAATAATCTAGACGTCAGCTTTACAGAACTTACCTCAGGGTTGTTGCCTAAAACCCTTGTAAGAAAAAAAAGCATAAATTTTCTATAGCTAGAATGGATATTCTTGTTTTATGACTGCAAATAAGTTTTTAAATCACTATTGTGGATAATACATATGAAAGAAATAGTGTATTTCCTTCAAGAATAGGAATCTTTGATCAGGACCCGAGGCTTATATTATTCATGCGAAGCTGAAAGCGTTCGCGAAATAACAACTCCATGGGATGGTGTATAGAGAGAAGAAATGAATGTTGAGCTAAGGTCAAAGGAAAAGTATCTGTCTCTAAAAGAGCATCCGTTAAATATTGAGAGTTGGGCTGTGTAATAATCCGAAGGACACTACAGAGCAATAATGTCAACATATTCTGAATTATGATTGGCTAGATCAGGTGTAACATAAAAAATCAGTTAATAATAGAGTATTGGCCGCACAAAAAATGCGCGGCAGATCCTCGATTTTGATTGGCCAAAAAAAAATCAAGTCATAATTTTACTAGTGAAATCGCAGCCGCCCATTACAGCTGTTTTCATAAATTCTGGGACACCTAAAAATTTCTCGATTCCTGGAATCTTTTCGGTTTCATCCGGTAAATTACCTAACTCTCCGGAAACAACATCATTGTCTCCGGACTGAACAGACACAGGACATGTCCCCCTACAGGGGTTCAAAATGTTGTCACATATAAATCAAATGAGTTGACTCACCCAAA